TTTTGGCTCTTACAGTTGGAGGTGCATAGTGGGATTGATCAACCACAAAAAGTCTTTACCAATACAGCTGCTATGTCACCCCATTTTCCAAAACTTTAGCAAGGCTTTACCCAGCAGCTGGAATGTGCTAGAAAGGACAGTCACAGAACAAGGAGTCTGCATTTTTTAGTCTCGTCGTTCGAAATAAGACCACAGTATCTGTGAGCATATGTGGTTTGAAATAGTGTGGGGTCAGACATGTAATTGGCATCCATATGGGATCATCTATGGAAATGTATGGAAATCTCCAGAGTTATCAGTTCTTATTATCAGGCTTTGCAAAATGTGGACCAGCAGTGCATGAAAAGGTTGCTCAGTAGAATTAAAATTATCCTCAGACTTCAAAGTCTTTAGAGAATTTGCATATCATACTTTTGTTTTTTCTTTTAAAGAAAAAAAAATTACAAGGACCTCTGAATCTTTCATTACGAAAGAACCTCAAAAAGTACTAGGAATGAAACTTGAGCACAATGCTTATACAAAGATGATAAAGAGTGATGGGGAAAGATGATAAAATGATGCTCAATCTCTTATTTATCTTTCTGTGAAAGAAGTTGAGAAGGCTCGATTTATATCTAGATACTTACAAATTTTCTTCAGATCTTAATCGGCTATATTATTATTTTGAAGATTGTGCCATTTTGAGAGGTCAAAGCTACCAGTTCTTGTGTTCTCAGAAATGTACCAAACGGTTGTCAAGGCAAGCCTGACAGAACTACAGCAAGGATTGGACCAGGTCCCTGTGGCCAACTCATAGACTGGTTGTGTAGGGTAGAAGCTTTTCTTATATGTTTTCGTTTCTTCACAGGGAAGGAAAATACCACAGAAAAGGACAGTTGTATTCATTAGATATCATTGAAAATGTATTGCTGTGAATGGATAGCACTTTGATTCGGATAGAATTAGCTATATGCATAACATAGTTCAGCATTTGAGTCTAATGGACTATCATTTTAATGCCTATAATTGTACAAACGATTCCAGAGACTAATGCAGTGTTATGTGATTCTTGTTCACCTTGTCATGGCGTTCATCCAAAGCAGGTGCTCGATAAACCAAAATTGGAAGTGGACTGAAATGAACTGGCACATAAAGAAACCAGGAAATAGAAAAGGAGGAGACAATCCCTTCTTATGCATCTTTCAAGGATGTATCAGTGGATGCAATGCTAGCTTTCCCCACACTGGCAAATCTCACAAGTTTGTTACTGTTTTGGAGATGCAATGAATGTTGTTTGTAGCAACATCATTAACATCAGCATGAGGGCTAGGAGCACACAAGCTGAGAATGTCAATATATAATTCAGGTTTTTATCCATATTATATTCTCATGTTAATTTTTTTAACTTTGCCAGTTTGTTCTGCTTCCAAAGCAGCCAAGAGCCAGCTAGAGCCAGTGCTGTGAGAGCTACTGTTCTGAATCCATTCCTGACTTGACTTTAAAGCAGAAAATTGTCATTCCTCTCCTATGTAAGAAATCAAATAACCCTGGTATCAAACCTTTTTACTGTTTACATTCCAAAAGTTACCTGCTATAGCAAGGGAAGCAACAGTGGTGCAGCTGTTTGTGTGTTAATAGAGATGGTTAGATTTGAATTAAATTTCAGAGCAGAGTTTGAAAATGAATCAGGGTTATGGTCTGTGTGCATGTGTGATGGTGCTAAAATCTTATGGGTCCATTCCAGTTTGGAAAGAAACCCAGAACCCAAATTATATAAGTAAACTCACATCAAGAGACTGAAATGGCCCCAAATGACCTCTTATCCTTCTCTTTCTGAGGATGGAAAGTTTGACTGTCAGATAGGATTGGGGAAGAAAGACGCCTCTAGATGGAAACTGACAAAAAGCTGAATTTGGCAATATTATTAAAGTGGACCCCTGGTTTTAATTATAAAGTTATATAACAAGTAATGGCAAATCCATTACAGACTTCAAAATCATGTCAAGTTTATCTACTTTAAGCACTGTCAAGCACCTACTTCTTTAAAGTGAGCAGAATCCACTCCAGCCTTCAGCTCTCAGGTTGAGATGATAGCTTGTTCTTGCAGCGACCTGTTTAATCAGCCCAGAAGACTCCCACAGTTCAGTTTCCCACTGTTTCAACAAATCCTGTCTTCAAGAGAAACTTTTCCAAAAAACTAGCTTTTAAAATTAATTTGATCCTTGTGTCAGCTGTTGGCAGTATGCCAGTGAATTACCTGGGAACATTTATTTAGCATTCTTAAATATTTATAGGAAAACTGTTGGTACTGCCACTATTCTGCCTGCCTTGAAATACTGAGATACTGTAATACTTTGATTTGAAACATTATAATCTGCAGGAGAAAACCTCAACATAAGGATAGAAAATTCAGGCTTTAAGCACAAGGTATTGTGGTCATAATGTTACTTTGCAGGCTGTCAGAATACATTAACAATTTAGGTGTCTAAAATAATGGAAAACACAGTCTGGGTTTGAGAAGCCTGAACTTTAGTGTGAAAGATAGAAGTCCTCAACAGTCCACCTGACAATGCTGTTTTGTCTGATTTTAATTAATCTGTCACTACAAACATGACCTAGTTACCAGAGTACAAATGTCAGCTTGTTATAGTTTTTCCCTAGAGTCCTCCTTAACTAGCAGTTGCCATTTACAGTTGCTCATTCAATCATGAAGAGTAGTTAATTAGCTCCATCTACTGCTGCTAGAGGTGAATTGTACCAGCAGCGGAAGTTCTCCCGTAGCCTCTTCAAACCGCACTGATAGGACACTCTGCTGCACCACGCCACTGGCAAGAGCTGTTAGCAGAAAACAGGAGGTTTAAAACTTTCTGCTTCTTATTCTGTCATCAGATTTACTGTTACGCATGTTTTCTCTTCAATCTTTAATCTGTTTGGTAATTTCATTCTGAATTGCAGGGTGACAATGTAGGTTATCATTTCTCTAAAATACACTTTCCCATGCCCAGCAGTTCCCTTTAAATAATTAGTACAAACAGTAGAGAGACTTGCAAGGAAGGGAACAGAGCTATTTAAGTTACTGCTGCGCTGATAAGAAAGAAAGCCACTGTGCTGAAAAGGGGTACCCAGGCTAACAGTCGGATGCCCCTATCTTGTGCCTGTTGTACGTGTTGACTGGAGTATTCAGATGGGGTATTTAGTTATGTATGTTTTAAAATACACGTTCTGATATTCATTTAAAATGCCTTCTTAGTTTATGAGAAAGCTAATGAATGCCTGTTCTTTCTTAGTATTTCCCTTTTGATTTAGGTGGACAATTTCAAATGCTCTCAAAACATCTCAACTAGCACCCCAGTAAGCAGGCTGCATGAGATATTTACCTACAATAGCTGAATCACAGAAACACACCGGATAATTGCCAAAGTGGAAAGGTGGGAAGAATTTATGTTTTCAAATGTTTTGAATTTTGTATATATATATATAATTAAAGAAATAGTTCAGCAAAGGATTTTATTTTCATAATAGATTTACTTTTTCATTAAGAAAGAAAATAATACCAAAGACCTTATTAAAGTCAGAGGTGTTTTTCTAGTCTGTGTAATGCTTCAATGCCTGGGAGATACCTGCTAAACCAAAAGCCCAGGCTTGTAGGTATTCCACAGAGGAAGGATTTAGTTGTGAGCAGGGGCAAATCTAACGTGCGCTGGTATTTTTTACTTTCCTTCTTCTTATGTAATGGTGTTCTTTACAGGCAGCACACTAGTATAAAGGTGTATCAGAGTCTCATTATTATGGGAGCTTTTTAATGCATTTCTAGGTGCACAGTGTGTCAGATCATCATAAATGTCAAAGTACACAGTCTATAAAAGCATATATACACATTTATACATATATATGCAACCCACACATATATTAAGATCAGGAAAGAGGTATAGTAAGTGCTTCTAAGCTTCCAGGCTGCAGTATAAGAAACAGGTTGCCATATCAGTAACTTTTGTAATGTCTGTCAGTGAAGTAACGACTCAGAAGGACTGTTACAGTTTTTCATTAAGTATAGCCATCCTCTCATGTGGGTCATAATTGTGTAAAACTTTCCCTTTTTTCATCAAGACTTACTGCATATCCAGAGTTTTCTTTTCAATTCAAGAATCAAGCTTTTTCATCTTTACATTAATTTTTTAATGGCAAGTGACTCAAGAGGAATTTGCTAAACTGAAAATTAAGCATATCGAATTTTTCCTCTGCATAATAATTACCCAGGCAGTTGTGACTGAGCCAAGTACAGAGTATAAATGTCAGAATAAATGGCCATATTCCAATAAGGGCTGACCAACACCTAATTGTGTCCTCACTTGGGAAAAATGTCTCTCTGGATCTAAACCCTTTGGCTCCAGTCCATTTCTATATTCTACACTGCACTTATTCAGAAAAGCCATTGATGCCTATGGAAGTTCTATCTAAAGATGTAGGGAAGAATCTCAATACATATTTGTGACCTTACAAAGATGAATTTATTGTTTGATTTGTGCTGGTAGCCCCAGCCTTCAAAGCTGCTTCTTATTATGAAGCAAAACCACTTTGATCCACAATCATATGTTTTCTTATATAATCTGGAAAATGTATGCATTATTGACAAAGCTAGAAGGAACTGAATACTGAAAGCATAGCAGGAAAACAACGCTTCATTGTTTTTATTTTTAAATGTATTCAATACGGTTCAGAAACAAGTATAATGGAACTCTTTACTCTTTTTACAAAGTTGACCATTAAAATATTTAAAAAGGACGTACTGGCCTTTGATAAATAGTTTAATATGGGACATGCATGCTATTAGGAAAGTCAGTTTTGGATGACAGTCATTTAACAGTGGAAAAGTGAGTTAACAAGAATCTTTGTAGAAATGCCTGCAAAGATGGCATATCCTTTCACATCCTTTTATTCAAATACAACTTCTTAATTCTTCTGCAACTTCCCCTCACATATCCACTTTTTAAACTTTAAACCAATTTTACACATTAAAATATTTAGAAATACAAATAATATACCCAATAAAATACATTAATTATGATGAATGATAACGGGAAAGAAAATCTGGCATAATTGTCTATGTGGTAAGGATTTTTAACATGGAAGCAATCAAAGATACAGCAAAGTCTTTTCATTACTGACAATGGTGAACCACACCCACTGTGTTTACTTCTCTCCCTTTTTCTGTCAATGCTGGTTTTGCAGCTCTTGTTTGAATTAATCTTGTTCATATTGTCAGGGGCACTGCAACTGTTAGCAACTGCTGCCAGGATTCCATTCCTCTCTTCTTCAGCCTCTTCATCCTCATCCTGATAGGAAACAAAACAGCGGGTACTTAAGTGCATGTTTCATTGCCTATTTACTTTAGAGCTGCAGCAAATAATAGGATTTTTCTTACAACTCCTCCTGTAGCTCTCTCCTTGATTTCAAGGGCAAGCACCTACATGCACCAGACAGCTCCTTTCAGCTTCCAAATCCTCCATTTACAGGAAAAACACTGACTTAAACAACATCTTACTGCAAAAGCTTTCATAGGTCTGTCAAGCAAAGCTGGATTTGTTCAAATATGACTCACTAAGCTTTACTTAAGACAGCAGCAAATCCATGAAAAGCACAACAATAAGCTGTCTTCTGCTCAGGCTAAATACTGGCAAAGGTTAGTGTCTAGAAAGCGGGTAAAGCAGAGCCCCAGTCTGGAGAGAGAGAAGGTGAGGGAGCTGCCAGACTAAATAGTCAAACTGGTTGCACCCCAAATAAAGCACCTCAGAATACAAGACAGTTTCCCTCTGTGTGGTTGGCTACTCTGTTCCCAGTGCTTTGTGATGAAAATCAAATTACTTAAAAAACCCTACAAAAAGCACACCAAAAAGAGGGATAAGCCCCACAACTAAGTCAGTATTATATATATAGAGCTCATACTACTTTGTTTGAAGTCCTGAAACCCAGGTTGTAAGTTCAAAGTTATGCTAAGGTTAAGCGCTTTTTTATCTGCTTCACTGCATCAAGACAGCTCTTTGGAGAATGTTGTGTAAGCCTTCTGGTGGGTTTTGTTTCTTTGGTTAGAAATGGCTCAGAGCCATGAAGTTCATGTATGAAATCTTCAACCTTTGAAGTTAGTGGGGGGTCAACACAGCTTCAGCTCTAAACACAAACTTTCTTACAAGTTCTGGGGTATTTAGTTTGATTTGGGATATTGCAGAGATACTAGCAAAGTTAAGATGTACAGCCCTATGTGTAGCTACACAAAAGCTCATTTAGAAATATCCCAGCTATTAAAGTCAAATAAAGCCTATTAAGCCACCTGAGTGATCTCCATGCTGGCGAAGAATTGCTCTTCTGCCCAGGGTACTTGTAGATGGCACGGTTCTTGAGCCTTCCTTCATCTAAAATTAGTAATGTCCTTGAAAATTAAAGTGAAGTCTGGACAATGTCCTCAGACTGCTGTGAATCAGTGAAGCAGAACAGATGGAGCTAGAAAAAGGGATTATTACTTCTTTTCATTTTCAATTTGCCAGAAAGGTCCAGTATATTTTATTTGAGAAAGATAAACGTAGCTCAACACAACGTGTCATGCTAAAAATAGACTGGCTACAAAACCTAGCCAGTCTCCACCTAGCCTCCTGCAGCTACGTGAGAATTTTGAAACCAAAGGCCAGGATAAAAATCTGCCTATAACGCATTAAGAGGATCAATCCATAAAATTCCAGTCTGAACCTTAAACAATCCCCGGGGTAGTACTAAAACTCAAACCTGGAGTTTTACTTGGGGCTGAACTCTGTTATAAATATCTAGCTTTTCTGCTTCAAAAAGTTCATGCAGCTGAGGGAAGTGCTGGGAATGGCACAGGAGCCTTTGTCAGCAGCATCTGGCACTTGAAACAAGGCACCAGAGCCACAGCGAAATGAATGCACTCGGCACTTCAAAAGTTAATAAAATAAAGAAACCTGTCAGAAGAGTCCTGACTTTTTTCCACTGCTTTCATTTTTTGGAAAGGAAAAAAGGGCAAAACAACATCTAGACTTCAAAACTCGCAGGATTTGGGGCATTTTTCAGTGTAAGAGGCTATTTGTCTCTCAGGTAGGGCTGGCTAGAAGTTGTACAGAAATAGTTTTACTGCAGAGCATGAAAGGACATTGCGTACGTGTCATTTTTCTTTTCACACAACTGCATGTGAACAATTCGCAGGAGGCTGATGCTTTATTAGGCTGTTCTTAACTCCTTTCTGCTCCCCAAGAGGCAGTTATTACTTAAGCACCGTACATGGTGCATAGGTACTTGATTCTGTTTGCAGCATTACAAGGAAGGGCTCTTGAAGAACAGAGATGAGGTTACAGAAAAAGTGCTGTATTACATTGCTTCAAAAGGAGAAAGCTAATCTAGAGGAGAATCATAACTGCTAGTTTATAAAAAAACCTGGTCTTACAAACTGGGACTATCAAGGGACTTTTCCAGCTTGCTATGGAGAACTGAATGTGATGAAAGATTAAGCTGGTTTACATTATATGAAAAATTTGTTTTGCAAGTGTCCAACTGTGGCTCTAATTTTAAATGTCACACTAAGTTTTCTCTGGATTCCAGATGTTAATGAGAAAATGGCAGCTAGCACTAAGAAGGGTTCCATTTGAAGCAAAACCAGTAGCATCCAGGAAAGGTACTGTACATCACCTGAAAAGCAGTGTATATGGCACGTGCTACTGTGGCTGCTGTTTATGTTAACCAAAATGTTTGCCGACATCAAACAGCAACAGAATTGAGGAAAGTTGTCACCTCCATTCAATAATAAAGACACTCAAGATTAAAAATATTTCAGCCTAGAGTGTTGCACACCCAGAGCTTCTTTGGTGTTCAGAAAGACTGCATGATGCTTCCACAGAAATGCCACATAGGCTGAACACTGCCCTCGTAACCCTATTTTTAGTTTTCAAACTTTTCTCTTTTCTGATCAAAAGGGAGAGGTTTAGGTGAAAGACAGATGAAGGCCAAGGAGGATTTCTCTGTTTTATAGGAGAGCACAATTTACACCTTTGTATAAAAGAGAAGAAACTTGGGATTTTGGAGAGGCAACCTCTCCATTTAGGCAGTCTGTTACGCAGTTCACATGCATGGCGCATTTTGTCTGACCTTCCTTGCAGCAGGTGGTTTTGCCATTTGCTTTCAAGCTGTGTCTGTGGGTCTTGGTTCACATGATGTGAGACACTGCAAGAGTGTGGATATGATGAGCTATTTCACCAGTTTATATTCTAAACTGGAGACCCCAAAGGCTTCAAAGAAATAGTGCCAAACTGCTTTAAAGAGCAAACCAGAAAGCAAACTAGTACAACTAATTCCTACACAAGGCAGAGGGTTAAATTTTCAATGCATCTCCTACATTTATTTACATAATTCTGAGTGCAAATTTTGTATCAGCTCACATATGGGAATAACAAACTGGGAAGTGAGATTTCTAATTAACCTATGTCCACAGGAGAATATGATAATGAGCAGAACACATTTATGGTGACAATACTCACACAGGAACTTGTTAAGTCCCTGCTAGACAGTGACATGAGATTTTAGCTGCTACTTCTGTCCTTGTGATGTTTTCTTTTTTACAGTGAGAAATGAGAAATACAAATCAGGTGTGCTCTCCGTGGCACCCTGCTCAGTGAACAGTGCTTGTCCTTGGCTACAATAGGAAAAGGACAAGACAGGCATTTTCCTTTTTCTACAGAGGCTTGAGTCAATCGAGGACCAACCAACTGCCCCTTCCCTTACACACTTACGTTTGTGTGGACAAGAAGCGAGTTGGACTGGCTTGCTCACTCCTGATGGCACAGCACGAGGCAGGAAATATGCCTAAGGTGACCAACCATTCCCTTCAGTCATTAAGGCTAACACAAAACTGTACATTAAGTCTTTCTTCCTTCCTCATTCTATGGCTGGATCTCCAGTTACTTCCATGCATGTCTTTGAAGTCCACAAGTTCCCACGTCGGCAAGCACTAGTACATGCGCCCCAGGTGAAAGGGGATCTGACACAGGTGGGTGAAGGCAAGGGCAGTCATAAGTGCCCTTCACAGATCCAAAGATGCGTAATCATCCAAGCACTGAAACACTTTACTTTCTTACCTAAAACTCCAATAAGGGTTTGTTTGGGGTTTTTTTTCTGCTCTATGAGCAAAACGACAACCACTTACTTCACAAGATGGATATGCTCAGAAGGAATTGTCACTGACACTACCTTGCCAAGAAAAATTACTTTCAGGCTTTCCATTCAAATCCTCATTTGAAACGAGTGTTTTCCCATTTGCAGACATTCCCCTGTTAGATGTTTTCATTTAAAGCCCACTGGGTGGCTCAGCTTTGTGTCTGTTTTTCAGTGCTTCTCCACACACCTGGATCTAATGGCAGCTTTGAACATATTCCTGTGCATTTACAGAACCTCATCTCTCATCCAAAAAGCCAAAATCTCATATTAATTGTTAAACTATCTAGGCATTAAAAAACACCCACGTCTTGGCTGATCTTCATTGTTTTTAAGCTTCTCCACTTGAACTCAATATCCTGTTTCTTGAGCCTACCGAGGAGCTTTGCTTAGACATTTGTGATGCTCTGTTCTAGTTTGGCTTAAATAGTTAACAATCTTTCTTCTTCTGGCCGTTTAGCCCTACAGCACCCAGCCAAACTTTTTCCTGCTTTTTTTCCTGTTATTCTCACTTTCCATGTTTTATTTTTTTCTATTTATCCAGAAATTTCATAAGCTGCTTAAAATTCTCTTTTCTATCATGCATACTAGATTCAGCTCCATAATTAAAAGCTGCAATACAATCAGCTTCCAACCCCTTGTGATTTCTTTTTCACTGCTTATGAAAGCAGTGATAAACACTGGAGACGGAAGATGTGACAAAACTTCTTCATGAACCTGTCCTGATTATTTCAGCAAGATGACAACCACCAGACTCAAAAATGCCTATGTTGATCTGATCCCTTTTTATTTTAACTATATTTCATAGTATTTCAGAGTTGTGAAAAGTTCATTAGAGCAACAAAAGGCACTGCTATAATAATGATGCAGAACAGAAAGTGAATCCCAGTCTGAGCTTCAGCTGAAGCTGTTGAAAGAGAAGGTGTAAGTGGAAGCCTATAGGAATCTGGTACACCTAATACATGAAGTCTGTCTGCCATTAAACTGAATGGGGTCTGGCTGAGATGGACTTAATTTTCCCCACAGCAGCCCTCAGAGCGCTGTGTTTGTATTAGTGGCTAGAAAGGTGTTGATAACACACCAGTGTTTCCGTTACTGCTGAGCAGTGCTGTCTCTCCAACATTTCCCCCCCAGGAGGCTGGGGGTGGGGAAGGTCTTGGGAGGGGACACAGCCAAGACAGCTGACCCAAACTGACCAAAGGGATATTCCATACCATATGATGTCTGCTCAGAACTAAAAGCAAGGGGAACAGAGGGGGCAGGGAGGACATTCGTTACTTACATTTATCCTCCGGGGTAACCACTAAGCATACTGAAGCCCTGCTTCCCAGGAAGTGGCCAAACATTGCCTGCTGATGGGAAGCAGAGAATAAATATTTTGTTCTTTTGCTTTTGCGCGTGCAGGTTTGCTTTGTTTCTATTAAACTGCCTTTTTTCTCAACTCTTGGGTTTGGCATTTTTGTTCCATCTTATTTTGTTCCATCTTATAGAGCAGCTTGGTGGGCACCTGGCCTTCAAGCAAGGTCAACCCACCACATAAACTGACTCATGTACTCATGCAGAAGGTTTCATAAATGGAATGTGATACAATCCTTTCTTTTTTCTTTTTTGCTGCATTGCAATAAGATCAAGTCACCAAGCTCAAGTCAAATTTTTGAACTGTAAGTGTATGTCATTGCCGGGGAGACAAGAAGTGCATATGATTTTTGTGATACATCTAGCACATTGTTTGATAAATTGCCATAAAGTCCATGCCAACACTGAGAATCATTATGGAAAGGTGTTTCAGTTTGTTTGATCTCTTCCCAAAAGTTCTGAGTATTTTTTTTTTTTTCTCAAGGTTATTCTATTTTCACTGTCCTTATCCTAAAATAGAAAATTCCTTAAATACATTCACTGCTTGCACTAAGTAAGGTAATTCATTCTCTTCAGCAGATGTAATTGAAGTCAATTTTGTAGGACAACAATCAAAGAATTAAAATACCTTTGGAAATTCCTTTGAACTGAGTCGATGCAGAGTACAGAAATGAGCCACAGCATACTCTAACAGTGCTCCAAAGATGAAACTGAAGCAGATACCGAGGTATACATCAATGGCCTTAATAAAGCAATTAGCATTTGGGAGCGAAGTTCTGGCTCCCATCATCAGTGTTGTCATAGTAAGAACTGTGGTAACACCTGTGGAACACAAAAATGTAAGTTCTGATAACATAAGGATAGCAATGAGGCTCTCTACCACAAGGGCCCTGCTACCAGACAGTTTTTCCTGGCTCTGTGAACTCCTAGTATGCCACAGCATTTAATGTGTCATGTTTTGGAAAGAACAGTTTTGCATGAACTTGCAATTCTGAAGTTAAATGCTTAAAAACACTAATGAAAACTGTTTGTAAAGCTGAAAAGATTGGAAATTAAAATGAGAGAGAATGAATATCTATGATTAACTCATTATTATTGCAATACTAAGCAAATGCTCCCTTTAAAACATTCAGATATCATTTTGCTCAGTGTAGTTGCCCACTGGCCTCATTTGATGTGAAATCTTTCTTTCTTCTTTATTCTGTATGAGTGTTTTTCCCACTCCACCTGCAGTCTGATCAGAACTGATTTGCATTCTTTCCCTTTCAGAATCTCCTTTATTTGAAATTAATTATACTTAATCTCTTATAATTCTCTTATTATTCATGTGTTAATTAGTATGTCATTAACCCTCACAAAAGCCTCATAATTCTGTCTGTGCGTGCCACGTGCTTGAATACGTTAAAATTATTTCCAAAATGACTGAATTTTCCTTTGCTTCCAGCAGCCCCTGCTGCCTCCAAGTCTCCTGTAGCTGCCAAGATGTTTTATTAGTTAAAGAATAGCAAGGCTTTAAGGGGAACCTGCATGATGTACTGTAGATAGCAAACCAGAAAAGCAATTTCATAAACTCAGAAGTGTTTGCAACTTTTTGGAAATGGATGCCATGTACGTGCAATAAAGAAAGCATCTTAATGATCCAACTCTTGTTTTGTTTTATCGGCTTCTCACCTATGCAGATTCTGGCTGGAACTGATGACTGGCTTATCCAAAACGATACCCAGGAGAGTACAACCAGCAGGATTGATGGTACATATGTCTCTAGTATGAAATACAAGATATTTCTCTTGAGTTCAAAGTGAAACACTAATTTTGGGTAACGTCCTGTGGAATGAGCAGGGAAAAAAAAATGTGAAGGTGCAATTCTTAAGAAGTTCTTTAAATTATCAATCTGTATTACTTTTGTGCATTAGAATGCAGTAAAAGCTTAACAAACAAGCTTGCAAAAAATTAAACACAGCACTGAAAAATTCTATTATTAATACTTTAAATTTACTCTAAAGGAAAAAATAAAAAATATATAACACCCAGTCACCATATCCAGAGTTTCATTAAAAATGTCTTGAATTGGAAATTCACTGAGGATTAGTGGAGAAAAAAAAATCCATCAATGTGTGGAAAAGATGTTTCATTATATAACACAATGCAAAGAAATTTGAATTTACATATGCTTATAGCTGTGGCTATTCATAAGAATTACCACAATGAACTCCTAATAAATAGCATAATAACAGTTGTAGTTTTATGAAGTTAGCATGGGTCCTTATCTTTAACTATCTCAGATATCTGGTTTATTTTGCTCTTTTCATTTACTATTGCTCAACATAAGATACCTTCTCTGGCACAGATGACCTACCTCTTATATTCCACTTAAAAATAATCAGTGTCTTTGCATCTTCACTATTTTTTCTTTATATTAGCGCGTTACAGTGTTTGTGCTGTTCTGAGCAGCGTCATTGTTGTGGCACAAATGGTTTGCTTCTAAATGAGTGATTTCCAGAAGTTGAAAGTTTGGGTCCACAGGCAAAGACAGAATTGGGTTTCATTAGGAACAGCACACTGGTAAGCAGATCCTGAATTTGATACCCAGCTCCCTAACTGAGGAAAATAGCTATATTTGGGCAACAGAAGTGCAAGATCTGAAATTGTTATCAGTCCAGTGGATCCAAGTAAGACAAAAGCTTGCTTTTTACTAACTTAAATGCACAGAACAGACTTTTTATTCTGATATTCAAAGTTCAAAATTAAGTGTTAAAGTATTTATGTTTTTTAAAACAAAATTCTTGAACCAAAATATCAGTGAGAGAGTGATGCTTGAATAAATTGTGGTCAGATAGCTTTGGCTTCATCTATTTTAATCCAACAACCTATGATCCCCAGGACCCCTGTTTGTGTCCAGTGCTGAGTGCTGTGAGTCAGGACAGAATTACAGAACAGTGAATGCACTTTAGCAACAACAAAATGTGCATAGACAGGCTATTTGTGTATCCCTCAGGTGAGACATGGAGTCAAAGAAAAGTACTTTTAAAAGCTTGAAGTGAAAGTAATGGATGCCAAGAAATGCCTTCTTGCTCCTAGGCTAGAAAATGGATAGCTAAATTTCCATTTTTAAAAGTATTGTATAAATTGCATCCAGAGAACATTAAAGTTTCATAGAACTCTTAAAATCAGAAAGAATTGCTAGATTATGTAGTCTGACCCTAATCACAAGTCATTAAATTTCCCCAATTATCCCTTGCTTTGAACTCAATCACTTTGATTGGAATAGAGTTCACCTTTCACACAGATATCTAGACTTAACCTGAGGATATCAAGACATGCAGCAGCCGCCATTTCTCTCAGTAATCTGTTACAATGATTAAAATAATTTTATCTGTTAAAAATGAATGCCTACTTTCCAATTTTAATCTGATTTAAGAAAGGTTAATCAAGCTCTCTGCCACATTGGCTCTGCCTTTTCACTAGTAGACTAAGTAGTCATTTGGTAGTCAGCTCCTTCTTCTCCTGAAGGTACAAATTCACTGTACTTAGGGTTTTTCTTCATAAGTTCAACATACTTAGTTCCTCAAGTTTCTGACTGATAGAAAAAAGGATACAAAGATGGACAGTAGACTTTACATCTCTCCATGGGGCAGGAGATACAAAGATGATTCATATTGTTATCATCATTTTTATGTGAAAAGAGAAACATTACATTAGCATACCTCTAAAAATACTGGGATTTTTACAAATACAGTTGTTTTGGTAAAAGTCATTTTCATAGAATCATAGAATGGTTTGGGTTGGAAGGGACCTTAAAGATCATCCAGTTCCAAGCCCCCTGCCATCAGCAGGGACACCTTCCACTAGACCAAGGTTGCTCCAAGCCTCATCCAACCTGGCCTTAAACACTTCCAGGGAGGGGGCATCCACAGCTTCTCTGGGCAACCTGTTCCAGTGTCTGACCACCCTCACAGTGAAGAACTTCTTCCTAATATCTAATCTAAACCTACCCTCTTCCAGTTTAAAGCCATTTCCTCTTGTTCTGTCATTAACTGCCCTTATGAAAAGTCCCTCCCCAGCTTTCTTGTAGGCCCCCTTCAGGTACTGGAAGGCCGCTATAAGATCTCCCCGGAGCCTTCTTTTCTCCAGGCTGAACAGCCCCAATTTTGCTCACCAAAATTGATTTTACGTGTAAGCAGACCAAAGTAAAGCATTCAAAAGTTAGGAAGTGCAAAACTTACAGTTGACTGTGCAACATTGCTTCTGTCTGCACTCATCCTTGCACTAAATCAAGCACTACTGCTATGGAGAAACAATGAGTCTGTGGAATAAAAGACTATAGTATAAAGCATATTTAGGGAAAAATAATTAGGGTTGTACAGGCAACTGTAAATCTATGGCTTCCTAGTGTGCAAGAGCAAATATTTAAAACCTTTATAAAAGCTGTTAAGGATTTTATTAATTTTGTTTACAATCTTCTAGGCTGCTATTTAACTATTGCTCAAAACAGATAATTTTATATAGAAAGACAAGATTTTATCTGCAGTGTTTGTACCATAAACTGTCATTATTATGGCATGGTTGCAGCTAGCACACAAGGACGGACAATGGCACAGCCACTGTTAGTGAGGAAAGGGTGTCAACCCAGAGCTCATGTGAGAGTGAAGAGAGTGCAAACCATCAACAGGAAACTGAATCGCCCACAAAAGCAGTTTGTCTCGTGTTTCTGTGCTGACCATAGGGAAGGATGTGGTGCCATGTATATCCAGCAAAGGGGAGTGAAGAGACTGGATTCTGCTTCCTGCAGAGTACCACAGACACTTGGAGGTTCCTGTGGTTCAGCCTTACAGCTTGTCTTTAAGAAGGAAGACTCTGAAATAGCCAATACATAATAGCCATACAGCAATACCGTTGCCTCGTTAGCGCCCTTCAATTGTGTCTCCACCGCATAAAAGTCAAGTGTGTACATGGGAAGTTAGTTCAAAATATCAAACTTGAAAGTCACACTTTGCCACTTTGCTGCAATTTCCAAGTGTAGACAAGCCCTTTGAATGTTCCTGTGTTCTTTTGTGTTATTTTTCCTGATGCCAGAAATTTCTGAAGTAATGTGAACAACAAAGAGAAATAGAGATGTAGCAACTTATAGCTGAGTGGCTTTTTGGGGAACAAAGAAAAAGCATTTCTCTAACCTTAAGTCTTTCTGCTTCCCAGAATCCAAAGACATATCATGGACATGATAATAATAGTGTCAGCATTTCTCTAAAGAGTTCAGAAGAGCTTTTATAATGGAAATTTTGAAGAAACCTATATATAGAATTCATATGAGCTCCTCCTGTAATAAATTGAAGGAAGAAGTACTCAAGAAAAAGTATGCAGTGCATACTTATGCTAAAGAAATGAGCAATGGTACAAAATTAAGATAGAGAAGTATTACAGTCCTTTTTTCACCTACACTCCACATGTACCAAAAGTTATCTTTAAAAAGAAAAAGATTTGCTACTCCTACTACATGAGTTGTATATGAGATAGTAACGCTGTGTCTCATTGCCTTTGACTTGCACATCTGAGGCTATGGTGCCATCAGTCAGATCAAAACTGAAACAGGTTCATGTAATCCTAGTCCTGGTTTTACTAGAGATAACTCAAGTACAGCTCAAATTAAGTCCTCAAAACTGTCAAGTTTGCCCCTTACTTGAATGTTATTGACAACAAAATATTTGCATTAAAATAAGAAGATACTTTTTCATTCAAGTGTTTGGCCCATGATTGATGGCACCACAGCGTGTGACTGCTCTGATTTAAATTCGATAATGTGATGAAAATAATCTCTGTGCAGGTCGCTAACTCTGCAGCAAAGGCACAAGTGTTAGCACTTACCAAAGTATCAATTTACTGTATTTAACAGTTTCTCAGATGAATCCAAACCTAAATGACTGTTAGTATACATACTCTAAACCCACCAGATGATGAGGTATTCTACTCAGGCCACCCCACAGCAAAAGAAGATTAAGGCTGTTACTTGAGCATTATAGAATTTACTAGGGGGCAGAAGTACCAAACTAGACAGTAGCTCTTGCTTGTAGATGAAGAATAAATCCTATAGTCTGTAGTCCCCATACCAACTCTAACTCTCTCTACTGCTTTAAAAATTATTAATTTTTTTTTGAAAAAAGAGTACCCTAGAAAGTAGAAAGAGGGGAAAAAAAGCAAGTTTCAGTTGGTTCCAGCTGACTACTTTTGTTTCAGTATCATAAAAATTATACCAGCATAGGCTCTTTCCCAGTAGCTGAGCGGGTGTTGGTCTAGGCAGATCTTTCTGAAGGCAAGAAAAGCTAGTTTATTCCTCTTTATAACTTGCCTTTGAAGTTTGGCTTTTTGCTTCTAAAAACAATATTCTAATTTAGAGCACTGCTTATCTGACACTCCATATAGATCTTGCCATAACACTGATTATTTTATCAACACTGATTATTGCTGCATTGCCTGAGAAATAGTTACAAACCTAAACAAGCAGGCTTCCTTATCCCCCTAGGTCATCCATTTTTTTATTACCCCATTTTTCTATGGTGTCTGTTCCCAGCTGATGGCAGAACACTGCATCTCTGCTCTTTCCTGCTGCCCTCTTGACCAGCGGATGGTCACAGCAGAGGCACCTGAAGGAGGGACAGATGCTCTACAAACACTGTCAGCAGTTCCTAACTTCCACTATAGTGTGATGGGATGGGAGCATCTTTCCCACAGTTACTTCCTGTGAACTTTTTTATGAACTCTACTGCAGTAAAAGACTGCTCCACGTCACTTTTTATGTAAGAAGCACTTTGGTAGCCTGCATAGGGATGTGC